ATATGTCAATTCTTCAATCTACCATCTGATCCTTTTTCTTTACTTTTTACTCTTTTTCAAAAAAATTTTATTTCTTAGCCTAAACCACCTTCTCATATTCTTAGTATTTCTTCCTCATCTGTAGTGTTTTCTTTTCATACCACATCAATCATTTGTGACTCTTATGATTCTCATTCTCATTTTAGTGTTGAATTAAGTGTTTTCTGTCCTTTTCATACTAATTTGGATATTGACTATATATATGAAGTTGAGAATCTTATTTTTGTTTCATTGACAAAGGTTTTGATTATTTTGGTGTTGAGTATTCTCATGTTCCAAGGGTTGAGTTACTTTAGCCAAAAATTTAAATTATATTCCCCTTATTAGTGCTATTGAAAGTCTTTGTTTTACCATTGATACTAAAGAGTTTTGTATTCCCTAAGAGTATGGACATTATTATTGATTTTTCCTTCTCAAATGTTGAATTGTATATTGAGGAGGTTGAGTGGTGTAAATTATTTATTTATATTGTGGTGGCTAAAGTATTTTATGATAGAAGATTCCCTATTTTCCAAACTTTGAGCATATATCCTTCTTTTAATTTCCCCATTTTTGCATTGTTAGTTACTTTTTATAATGCTTCTTTATCCACTTTTTTTTCTTCTACACTATTTCTTCCTCAAAAAATTTCACTTTCTCCTCTTTTTACTTCAATTTTTTTTCTTTGGAGGAGGGGGTAAAGGGGATGGATGGGAATTCAACCTCGACAATAGAGTGAAGACAAATAAATATAGTAGTGGAGCAAGAATAAATGACATAAATTATGAAGTGAGGAAAAGCATTGCAAGTCCAAATAGAACATCTAACCCCCACTGAATAGATGCAATAGTGGAGTGAAAACAAATATAATGAGTTTGAATAGAGCTAATGTTTTAAAACTTTTTTTCTTTTAAGGAAGGGATAAAGACGATATAAAGAATAAACAAAGTGAGTCTAACCTCCCATAAGTAGTGTTGGATGAGGATAACAGTTATGACCATCCTTCCCTTCAAAAGATAAAAAGATGATGATAATAATTCAAATGGAATATCTAGAGCTTTTGCTAGGTAATTACAAACTATCATAAACAAAGTTGTTGACAACTATAATTGAAATAAAACTCAAAACCATGGTATAAACATCAATCGATTATAGAATTTTGATAAACCAATTGCAACTTCATATGCAACTACCAAATGCTTAAACCAATATCAAAGCCATAACTTTAAACTAAAGTAAGGGACTTCAAGAGCCACTATAGTTCATAAAGCGGTATATATATATATATGTATGTATGTATATATATATGTATATATATGTATGTGTATATATGTATGTATGTATATATGTATATATGTATGTATGTATATATGTATGTATGTATATATATATATATATATATATATATATATATATATATATATATATATATATATATATATATATATATGTATATGTATGTATATATATATGTATATATATATATATATATATATATATATATATATATATATATGTATATATCTGTGCGTGTGTGTGTGTGTGTGTATTACCCTGGCTAAGTAATACACTAATTATAGTACTATAGCATATGAATTGTCTATTTGAGACTTAATCTAGTCTTTCCATTCTTGTATATAACCAGTGGTCTAAACCCAAATTAATATACTCATTCCTATATCTTAAGCACTCACACATTCATATAAAACATAAATAAATTTTAATTAGAATTCAAAATGAAATATTGTAAAAAGGCTAAACCATCATATAGAATCAGTGAGAGTTTTTATATTTTTCCTCTGTATTGTCACTTTAATATTTACAAAATGTTAAAAAAATTGTAATATTTTTTAATAACATAGATAATCTCAACTCAATAATATCAATATTTGTATTTCACCAAGTATTTCAAAATTCTTTAAATAATTTTTTTCTCATATATTTTTTATAATAAAAGAAGTTCAAACCCTCCTTAGTTATATTTTCTTTTGGTTCTTCTTGAAGAAAGTTCTATACAACAAGTTATAAATAACATAGTAATAAGAATAAAAATAAAATAAAATTCTACACCCTTATAACATATATATATATACTGATTCACATAATTTAACATAATTTTTCTGAACTATTCTATCTGGATGATAAAACACTTCCAAAAAAGTATTTTAGTGATTTTAATTAAAACACATCAAAATATCTCAAATTTGTGGAGAACAAAAATCTAACTTGCTTAAATTAATCTTATTCCCTTAACCTTATCAGAAATTAAAACGGCAATTTTCAAAGTGGTTGAAACCACTCCTGAGTGGCACTGCTGTGATCAAGAATCCTTTGCATAAGAAGAGAGTTAAAATCATTCTATACAATACAAAACTCTCACCTCTCTGCAAGGCGTTCCAGAAACAAGCGATACATGTATTTGTGGGGCAGCTCCAACAAAAACACCACCCACAAAATGGGCAACTGATCTCCTTTCCTCGGTCCTAGAATCCATGCTCCCTCAAGAAGGAAAACAAAATTAGCAGTGCTTACAGATAGAGCTTACTTGGATTTCCTGCCAGCGTCCAAAAGTTCCTTGTGTTTTCATCGCAGAGTCCACAAAAACCGTGGAAAGAAAGCATGAAAACGAGGCAACTCATCGAATTCTTTCACCAGCATACTTCTCGATCTGTCCATAGAGCTGGAGGCTTCCCTCGGAACTCGAGGAGCTAGAAAACCTGGGATTGTCTCGTCGCCGGCACCATGACGCTGCCGCGGTCGCGAATCCAGTGCCTGGCCTGGCAGAGGAAGCTGCGCAGTCGGGAAGGGTCGACAGTAGCCACGACTCTTTCAAACACCCCTCGAAATATTGTCATCCGGAGCTAGCTCGTCTAGATCGGCCGCGAGGTCATTCTTCCGGTTTTGGAGATGAGAAGATGCAACAATCGAGCGAGGAGGAGGAAGAGGAAGAGAAGCGGCTGCGCAGCGATCATAGCTCTCTCACTCCACCCACTGCTAGGCGTAGAATCGAGAGCCAGGTAGAAGAGGACCTGCCAACGATCATCACCTCCAAGATCAGCTCCAGGAATTCCTGGACAAGACAGTGGCGATTATCCGCGCGGAGGAGGAGCCAGATCGTCCAGTGGCTGCTCCATCCCAGGATGGATTCCATCTCTTTGGGAAAGCTCCGCGAGGATAGAGAGAGTCAGGGATGGATCTTTAGAGCACAGGGCTGGTGGCAAACACTACATTCACAGTACGGTGAGAGTGTGGGAGTAGAGGCTGAGTCGTTGAGATACTTCTCAAGTGTATATGTCACAACTTCTGACGCATTTCCAACGGTTCTTGGGTGGCTTTCGTCCAGACACGTTGTCTTTCTCACCAATGACTATGAGTCGAAGCGGCAGCTCATTCCTTGTGACATATACACTTGAGAAGTATCTCAACGACTCAGCCTCTACTCCCACACTCTCACCGTACTGTGAATGTAGTGTTTGCCACCAGCCCTGTGCTCTAAAGATCCATCCCTGACTCTCTCTATCCTCGCGGAGCTTTCCCAAAGAGATGGAATCCATCCTGGGATGGAGCAGCCACTGAACGATCTGGCTCCTCCTCCGCGCGGGATATCGCCACTGTCTTGTCCAGGAATTC